CTTATAAGCTGAAGGCTTTTTAGCCTGTGCTCAAAAAAAGATGTAATATTGATTGTAATGAATATTATAATGTTTTACTACCATGATAATTGATATCCAATTATTTCTATGTGAAATTACTCCACTAGTTTGTTATAATAATTAATAGATAAATCGAGCAATCAGTCCTGTTAGATAGAAGGAATTTCTCTCTATGTTCGAATTTTGTATTAAAATTTATAATAATGGAAGTTGCTTTTCGAAAGCGATATTAACACTTCGCGACGTACGTTCAAATACTTTGAAGCGCTTTCGATTTGAAAGAGTACTTTTGAAACTGGCCGAATAACCGGAACTTCGTATAACTGGCAGGAAATTGAAACGACAGGTTGGAAATCCTGTTAGTTTAAAAGTCGAAACGAAATTTGTAGGTGCTCAAAGCGAGAATTCTAAGTAAAATTGTTTGCTGCGGGGCTGTTACAAAATTTATCGAAACGAGAACCGAGCAAAAGTGCTTTATCAGCCTTTTTTAATGTAATGGACAATTCATTGATAAAATTCATTTTGATAACGTAGCTATTTACCGTTCAGAAATATTTAAGTGGCTACCATAACCTAAAGCAGGTTATATATTAAACAAAAGCTATACCAGAACGAAACTCCAAAGACAATTTAATCTGTTCCCACTAAATTTAAAATAAGAACTCGGTTGAAATCGAACAACGATTTTATCCGCTAGGAGGAACTAGGAACGAACTCTGTTTGAAAATGGAACAAAATGGAGTACGGAACAAAGCGCAAAGAACGCCTGTAGGCTACAACTTCGGTGCGACATGACAGTTCGTAGCGAGAGGACGTTTTTTAAAAGTTACTCAGTCTGGTGCTCGCGTGGAATACGTGCGGCCTTTGAATTTGGAATATTACTTTAGTTTTCGAATTCCGATGGCGAGCGTGACCATTCTCATTTTCATTTGCGATCGGGAGAGATTGCGTAAAGCCGTAAGCCAACTTCAATTAATAAACTATAAATAAAAATTGAATTGTTTCATATGTAGAGCTAGGAAGAACTTGGATAATGTGCTGCGCAATCATGCCCTAGATGTTGATATAATAATATGCTATATGTTGATGCGCTAAAGTGTGAATTCACGGCCATTCTATTTAATTTTATTGAATAATTTGTGACTGTTGGTGCAGGTTTTGTTTAAAGCACGTGTTTGATTTGTCTGAAACTGTAGGTGGAAACCATGTAATTGGCTGTATGTTTATATTCCTGTGAACCGATTTTGATGATTCTTTTTTTGTTGGAAAGAGGGTATCTAAATAGTCCCATTTAAATTGGAAGAAAATATTCCACTTCTAAGGGTGGCAAACTAGGGGATGAAACCGGTTTCGCTCATTTTCCGGTAACCGATTTCGATAAAACTTGGCTATCTATTGATGTAATTCCACGAAATTTTGGGTTCGGTTTTTTATACTACTCTGTACTGATATTATTCTTAAACGGTTGGAGCTGTTGGTTTTGCACGAAGAAATTAATTGATTTAATTAAATGTTTGTAAAAATTATCGTCACAGATTGAGTAGGCGATGGATTCTAAATAATTTTCCTAAAATTTAAACGTATTTCTGTTGGCATTTTGTGTTGTTCTTGTAATAAAGTAACAAGGTAATGAACAAACTTGACATTCGACTTGTCTTAAGATAACCGTTTCCCAAAATACGACGAGAGTGGGAAGAAGTATACCAACAAAAACACACCCACGTTAAAGTAATTTCCTTTACATTTACGAAATAATTGAATACGCGGGTGGAAACTTGAACAGTTTCCAGCGGTGCTTCCACCATGAGTTTACAGTGATAGATCTCGTTAGCGCCTGCAAAAAATTCGTTGACAATTTCGTACTGGAAATATTACAGCGTCACAAGAACATTTTGTTCACATTTTTTTACGCATTCGTTAGTGATAACTGTAACTATGGAATAGTCACAAATGGAGGCTGAGCATAGCGAAACGCGGGAAAATTTAAATCCGTTGCCGACGGTAGCGGGACCGCAACGAGAAACCCGCGAGTTATCGGGCTCCGATACAACGAAAATCTACCCGCAAATCTGAGTGTTACAACGCCGAAATCCGACTGAATTTTGCTTTTAATTAGTAATTGATTTGATAATTGTACACTGTGGAGCAATTCTGACAATGAAATTGTATTTATATTTTTTTTATTAGACATGTATTTTGAAAATATTTCGCCTTTTTGATACTATTATTTTGTTTTATATTAACTGTTAATGTATAAATTATAGTCGATGATAATCTCCTTTGACCTTTATTTTAAATTGCAATATACGACTAATGCGTAAATTAAAAGAAATAAAGATTTAATTCTATTCTATAGTGGATTTTAGTTCGACATGGTAGCGATAGATGGCGTTGACCAGTTGCTTGGAATTGGTTAACGCCATCTATCGCCATTATCTATTTTCTAAACCGCGATATTAAAATCTTTCCTTCACAACTTAAATAGTTGAACAGAGAAGGTATCAATGATTTCAAGAGTTGGCGTTCGAAATATGGACTGCACCAAAACAGTAGTTGAACACCTTTTGAAAGAGTTTGTTGAGAGAGGTGCTGTCATCTTACCTATTTCTGCCAAGCAGTAATGTTAGCATTACTGCGTTCCGATTTAGCAGGGTAGGTGCTAATAAAATTACAGGCACATGGGACTTGCCAACTTATGTCTCTGGCAGACGGGTGCAGTGGCAGTGCTCCTCAGATCTTTGCAATTTAAAGCTCTGAGTGTCACTGCAACTGTTATGGACAGGCGTGTAGCTTATCATCAGGCGCTCGACTTGTTCGTCCCGTCACTTGGTGTTATAAAAAAACACTTTGTCGGTTCGAGCACTTTACCACATCTGGGTAACTTTTAGATAAGTTTTCTCTAGTTAATTTCGGTGGCAATTTTTATTATTTAAATAATCAGGAATATTATCATAAAGTGCTATTTAATGTTCGAGTATAGTATCCCGATTCACGATTCACGATAAAATATAATTGAATAATAAAAATTGTCACCTAAATTTGGCAAAGAAAATTTACCTGTAAGTTACCCATCTCCTTGATTTCTTACATTACAGTTATGTTTTATATTCAAAATAACGTCGTGAATTATACGTCTCACTGCTATCCCCTAAGGAGAGGGTATAGGCTCAACTGGCTTAATGCGTGTTGGGGACTTCACATGCTTTCTTAGGGGCTGTGATCCTTTGTCTATATGTATATGTTTTCTTTCACCGTTACCTGTAGATATGCTACTATTTTTGTGGCAGAGTACGTCCAGGGAAATGTTGCCACCTTACCTGTTTCTGCTATTCTGCTACTCGGTTTTGAAGGGTAAGAGTGCTGGTGAAATTACAAGCACATGATTGTTAACTTGTGTCCTTTAGATCTTTGCGATTTAAAACTCTGAGCATCAGTGCAACTGCTATGGACAGGTGTGTCGCTTACCACCAGGCGCACAACTTATTCGTCCTATCGCTTAGTATCATAAAAAAAACTAAACATTCACAAATGTACGAAATTTAAAAGTCAGGTACATGCCGTCACTCACGCAAAGGATTCGACCCGTTGACGTTGAGAAGAAACGGTTTTCCCCTCAGGGCTTCTACCGGTCTATTATTTCTATTCCGTAAAAGAAAATCCATTCCACATTTTACAATTCGACAATAACGGTTACTCTGTTTCGTACAAAACGAAAGCTTCGTTTGCTACATTATTTATTTTTGATTGACGCGGGCTGCGGCGTAACGCCGCGTTCGTTTGGAAAATACGATAAACCGATCTAACAATGTTTGATTTCATAATATCCGATCTCCTTTTATTGTTATTCGGAACCAATTTTGTGGAAATATTAAATAGAATTTTGAGTCCATTGGGAATATTAGCAATTTTATTTGTCTAAATAAAGACATGTAAACTTTGTTTATTGGGAGGGCAAAGCCTGAACTTAATTTGGTTCCTAACAAATTAAACCTAAGTAACGTTTTGTTGACTTGACCCAGAAACTAATGGTCGTGGTTATTGTTGGATTAATAATTATTATTTGAAAATATTCGGCACAAAAAGCCTCGTAAATTTGACCCACACAATAATATATTTTCTTAAGATTTCGAACCAGTAAAGACTTAGTAACTAATTTTGATCACTTGGGCAGTTTGAAAGCTAATGACACTAAAGACTCTAGAAATGTTTACAATAACAATAAAACATTTATTAAGAGCACAATTTCGAAAAAGGGCAGGGAATCGACTGATAAAAGTGTGCATTTGGAGCATTGCATTGTAAGGTAATGAGGCACGGGCCGTGACACAGAGAGACAGAAAGATCGGAAGCATTTTAGATATGATGCTGGAGACAAATGTAGGGAAAACCAATGAGGAGGTGTTAAGACAATAAAGAACCGAAAGGGATAGACGTTTGGACATCTAACATGTCACGGCGGTTTTCTTAGAAGCATTATAGAAGAAGATCGAACGAATGATCGGCAGAGGAAGACCGAGATGAAGTTATAAAGATCAGACGAACTCTTAAATAAGAAGCTCTACTATTACTAAAAGTCATTCAAACATTTCAGTGGAATACCATAGTATATTTTATATGTAATACAAAGTGTTACGTGTCCTAATTATCCCAAGTGTACTTGTACTTGAAAAAAAAGATTGATCAAAACTTATGTCTGGAGTACCGCATTGTATAGATGCGAGACATGGATAGTAACAAAGAAAGATAAGGAGAGATTGGAGACATATGACATATGGTGGTGAAGATAAAAGGAGAAAATAAAATGGATTAAGAAGACATCAAATTAGGAAATTTCAAAAATGATTGGAGATAGAGAAAGTTTTTAAAGACAATAGAGAAGAAGGACGAAAATGCTTGGACATCTATTACGTAGTGACAAATATATGAAAGTTATACTTGAAGGGAATATACAAGGAAAAAGAAAGAGAGGACGACCAAGAATGGCATACAGTGAACAAATAAAGAAGAATGTCAAAGTGCTCTGCTACATAGAGGTCAATGAGCTCGCTGCGAACCGTGAGGTGTGGAGGAGGTACGTTGACAAGAGCCTGGCTCTTAAATTGGATGATGATTTTATTCTGTGACTTTACTGGCTTTCGTATACTCAGGGTCGCAGTAATTATGCAGGCGAGTTCTGCACGTTACTAAACTCAACTACAAGAAATAACGAGTATGTACCGTCCATAAATTCATATCCCGATATGGTGAAGACATCCCAGAAAAAATTCCCATTGTACTTTTTTCCGAGATAAAAGGAACAAATAACAATACAATACATTGCGATACAATGAGATATTTATCGAAGCCGCAAGGTGGAGGATTCTCTTTCATGCGAAATGTTATATTAATATCCTAATTTCTACTTACCTTTATTAAATAATTTTTTGGTCTATAAAGATGTATTGTCCGTGGTTCACAGATTTGCTTTTACTTAGAATCTTTGTTAAGACTGATGTAGGTTGGTGAAGTTGGCGGTAAACTAGTAGGAGAACTGTTTGCTCGACTTCCTTCAAATATTTAAAACGTCATTTATTCAAATTACATTCCCAGGTTGGACGTAAATTAAGATTTAGCTTAAAATATTTAAGAGTCGATTTAACCTCAAATTGCTTTGGTCGATTCTGCATAACAGTGAGTGTTGAATCAATCAGATTTGGAAAAAATATATAGCAAAAAATTTTACAAGAACACCGCTGTATTCAGTAGGTACGGCGACAGCACATCTAGCTTTTTTTATTCGAATTCGAATTTTTATTCGAATATCGCCTCCAGTGCAATGGAACAAGATCCATCAATGTGTAGCTTAATGTGCTGCCGTCTGTACTTTACATATACCAATGATTTTTTTAATATCAACTGAACTAAATAGAACACGTATAGTATATCAAATACATTGTTTTTTAAATTCTGAAATAAAGCCAGCGTCCCTGCCGTTCGACCCAAATGAACTGTATTAGTATGGGAAAAATTTATATTCGAGCTGAGGTAGTATCAACTCTTAATAGCACAAATCAAACAAAAAAAAATTTGCAATACACACAGAGCGTCGTGATCAGAAGGCTCGACATCGTTCCCCCTTCGATCGTCAATCGTGGGTTGCGATCTCTCCCTTATGTAGTTGACATATCACTTATACGCACAATGCGTTTCGTTCCCTCTTTCGATACGAACAGCTGGTGGGAATTCTGTGGTAGCTGCTGTACACCGATAAATTTAACTTGCGCTTTTAAGGCGGTTTTTTTCCATGGTGTGAATGAGCACTTTGCAGGCAAGCAAGTGCAGAAAAAGTAATAATAAATCGTCCAGGCAAGTACTGGTACGTACCTATTTCTACCGCCAAGCAGTAATGCTCGTATTATTGTGTTTCGGTTTTGAAGGGTTTGGGTGCTGGTGAACATATAAGCATACGGAACTCGTCAACATTATATCTCTGGGCAAGGGTGCGTTCTCATTATGTCATGATGACAGGTAGTCGTACAGTTTAAAGTGTCGTGCCTTGTATATTTAAATGAAGTTGTTGAGACATGGAATAACATGATTAACCGTCGTCCACGACTTTATTGACGTTATGACGACAGCCTGTCACAATGGGATGAGCTAGAACGGCAGTCGTTCGACAATAATTAAATGTCACGATAAAAATGTGACGACAGATAATCACAGCTTCAAACGATTCTCGTGACGATCTAGTGAGAACAGCTAGACACGACAGTCGTTCAACGGTAAAATAAACGTCCACGACAAACAGTCGTGATATGGGAACAGGCTATACGCGACAGTCGTCGAACGACAAATAAAACGTTACGACGTAATGGGAATCCTAACGGACACAGTGGCAGTACCACTCAGATAATTGCAATTTAAAGTTCTTAGTGGCACTGTAACTGCTATTAAACAGGCGTGTCACCACCAGGTGCATGACTTGTTCGTTCCGTCACTTGGTACCATAAAAAAATCTGCCGCAGAACAATAATGTGTGTATTATTGCGTTTCTACTATGAAGTGTACCTCTGAGTGGCACTGAAATGGTTTTAGATGGGTGTGTCTGAGTTGTTCGTTGCGTCCCTTGATAACTGTATTTTAAAAAATCTTGTGAGAGCGCGGCTGGCGTTATGTGCTCTTGGATGGAATGTAGTAGTAGCCTCCGCAGCCTCCATACATCTTACTTAGTAAGTTTAAAGTTCAAAGTTCAAAAGGGTAAAGGGCAATGGTAATAAATCCAGTTTTGTAAGTATTTATTCCAGTTTTAACAATACTTATGATCTTAAAAATGTATATTGTACAACAGATTTTTAGTAAAATAGTAAACGGCTCAAAAAAAAAATAATAAGCGTAAAAATAAGATGTGTTCTCTGCCGCGATCTGGCAGGGAGTGACGATGAAATGAAACAAAATTAGAATGCGAGGAAAAGAATGGAACAATTCAAAATTTGAATTTAAATACGAGTGTGAGAATAAAATAAGAAATTTAAATAACAAGGTGGGATGACGATCAAGGAGATCATACCGTCACAATCTTAAATGACGACTTTGATGGCCCAAGGAATAGCAGCGTTAAATGGAGAGGATTTCGATGGATGGAGGCTGATTTCGTTTGCAGGTAGGACCAATTAGAGAAACGGTCTTTTCAAAATCGCTTTGCGCTTGTTGTTGGAGTATTATAGTAATGAATCACAACAATTCGTTATTCCTGAGGTGACAATAGCAAAAGTTTTCAATAGAAGTTCAATTTTAAAACTTAACAAAAAACAAAATTTAATTTTAAACAGAACGTAAACATTTTAAAACAGTTGTTAAAACCTGAAACATATTCATTTACGCCAGGTCCCGGCTTACTTCCACTTTACTATACCCCACCATTTTTTTTCTGGGACGTATAGCGATGAGTATATTAAAGGGTAACAGAGGTAAAATGCTTATAGTTTTAGGTAACAAGTATTACTACCGTATATTAACTAATGAATAACTCACGTATTGAGTCGAATTTTGGCTCAACACGTTTCGAGTTAGTCCGTGGTTCTTAATCATAAGATTCTGCGGCGGTGACTAGACGGAAACTGCAGGCCAAAGCCCTGACAGCCCCCCAAGGACCAGGAACTAGTTCAAGACACGTCGAGGAAAAATTCGACTTACATACGTGACTTATCTACTATTACTTGTTCAGTTAATATGTTTACTTAGGTACATGATTTGTTTGATAAGTTTTTGGTAAGTTAGTAATAAATGAACCTATACGATGTCTACGTAATAGTAGTTTATGTGACTTACATAATGAAAGGCATTCAAATCCGAGTGTGGGTTCATAAAAACATCACACGAGTGTTTTAATGTCTGATTATGTACAGTTACACTGCTTTATTTATACACATATTATAAGCTCTCTGTGATGTGTTCAGGAACCGCATGTTACGAATGGCGGCAAATACAATTTTTTCTCACGCATGTCACACAACTGTAGTCTTTATTTAATTCATAGACAAACTAGAGTCGGGTCCAACTATCATATCCTTAGACTATGGAAACTAAAGGACATGTTATGTTGACATATATAAATCAGACGTTATATGTATATGATGCATTTCGATGTTCAAAACATAAACATGTTATTTAACTATTATACTATTTAATTGTCTTTGTTTAACTATTGTGTGCCGTCTTAAGACAAAGCCAAAAGAGATAGCATTACATTGGTCTGTGTCAAACACGGGAATCGAAAATACGTAACGCCATCTTAAATGCTAACCGTGTCCATTTCGCAGTACATGAGGTACATGATACGGTTGTCAAAGGGAAGTACATGACATGTCAAAACAAATGTTTTTCCAAGTGTTTTATTGAATTATCCGTATGTATTGTAATAAAATAGACAAAAATATTGACAGTGAGAACAATTAAGTGTCAATAAAAATTCGTCGCTGCAGCATTACGGGATGTAGCATTAGAAAAAGCTAAAATCGACCCAATTTAACGTTGTTCAGCCACGTGTTATTTTTCTGTCTATAAATCACACAAAAGCCCAAATATCTCATGTAATTAGACATATTTAAGTAGTTTATTCATAAATCTTGCCAAATTTTACGTTGGTTTCTTCAGATTGCCTGTTTGTTTATATATTTTGATGATTGTTGTTAACGATTATTTTGAGATAGTGTTGTTCTCAGAAGTGAACATATTATCGATATACTGTTATTAAAATAATTCCCTACGAGGTTTTTATTATTTTATTATTATTATTTTTAATATTTCAAGTTTACCTACAAATAAAAATTAATAAAGAATGGTTGGAAATCATAGGAGTGCCGAATATAAACATTGAATCAAAGACCATCTTCATTTATTCGCTTCATTTTGATGAGTCAAATTTTAACATAATTTTGAATGTAACTAGATTACATGATAAAGCAATTCCATTATTAAATTTATTGGTAAATAATTTTATATTTGATTTAGAATAAACAAGGCTCATTTACTAGACATTCTCAGTTCCTGCAAACAAAATTAACCAGTTGTTTCCGATTTTTTCCCACTGGTAACCCTAACTACTAAAAATTATTATTTTATAAAGCCAGCAATACAATGACCATGTTGGTCCAACGTTGCCGAGTGAAGGCCAGTACTAACACATAGACAGCCTATTTGCCTTGCCTTGCCATCGTTCGGTGTCACTCGCCTAGCTGACCGAGTGAAGGCGAGCGCTAACGTGTATAGAGCTCGTTTGACGTGGCTTGTCACAACTCGCAGTCGCTTGTGACTACTTGTCTCACTTCGGAGAAGTGTCGATTTTTCTGCACAAATCAAAGGGCTTGGCCAATAGTAGTCAATTGACATTGTATAATCAGACATTTGCGTACTATATAATATATGCGAAACATGTTTATACTAACACTGTCTCTTGTTACATCTCCTGATATACCATGTTTTAAGCAAATAAGCGTATGATAATAATTTTATTATTGATAATATTACTATTTTCATCCATTTCCAAGATTAAATGGAAGCATTAAATATTCACTTAAATCAG